ATAATGGGTACCGGCGAACTTAATGCTGGGGGTAACCCTGCGATGGACTAGCATCCCATCCAGGGGGGAGTAGAAATACTCCTAGGCGCTTCATGCTACTGAAACCGGGATAAGCTCCAACCTGATGGGCCACTTGGCTCGCATGCAGACTTTACCTTTTTTTTTACCTTAAAGTCTAAAAAAGACACTTAAGCGTCTAAAAAAGACAAACTTACTTTATTATTGAAAAGTGATAAAACACCTCTAAGAGCATGTACTTTACTAGTATTTGACAAACGACGTTGAGTTGAGTTTATTTCCTTTTCTTATGGATGATGTTGCATTGGACAGGTCTTGTGGAGACTCAGGTTTTATGGAGGATTTTTCCGACATGTTACTGTTGAAGCTGTTGATCACTTCGATCACAGCGGCCGACGATAATGAAAAGGTTTGTGTTTACAAAGCTTTGCAAGATGATTCAAACCCAAGATAGGAGTTTTATTTGTATGAGGGATTTTCGTAGAAATCTCATTTTATGACTCGTTTTATTCTCTATGTTGGTGTACTTAGGACTTTTTGTCATCAACTTGTTCCTTTAGACAAAACAACTTCGTTATACTTTGCTAATATTTTTAAAAAGCGTTTCCTATTGCTCAATTTACATTACAGTTTGATGTTTTAGTATGACATTCATTTTGGCCTGCTTTGAAGAATCAGGCCCTTGAGATTTTCAGTCCGCATTTACGCGCATAAACCAGCAATTGCTTTCCCTCTGTTTCTAATATGAGCTGGTTTTAAACCCGCCTTTTTTGTTATTTGCTCTGTTCCTACCTCCTTGGATAATGTTGAGTCAGTTCATCTGATATTTGTTATGCCATGCTCGTTTCAGGTGAAATCAAATGCTGTAAGAGCTTTGGGGAACTTTCTTCGCTACACTAGAACGTCATCCCTAGGTGAGGGACAAAAAGACACTGTTGTTGAGCTAGCCACTTGGAATGGCGTGTGAACGTGTTTAGAGCTTCAAGGTTTAAAATACACTTGTTTCCATCGTTCAGATAGTTGCACTATTGATAGGACTAGTTGCACTATCGATAGGAGTTTGCGTCTAAGGGATCTAATACCTTTGCAAGTTGGAATAAAAACAAAGGAGGCTGGTTTTGCTATTGTTAAGGGTGCGAGAATCTGAAGTGAAGATCTAAAACGTCAGGCCCATATATTTGCAAATAGTACGAGCCTTTTAATAAACTGGGTTAAGATGGAATAGCTTAATTTAAATGGAACTTGTATAACTGATTGAAAAGGATTCTGGCATGCATTTGCCTTTGTTTGTTTGTCTGTTGTTTACGTATGTATTCTGTTTTTGAGAAGCTATTTTTGGAGAAGAGGCAGCTAGCTGTGGGAAATATTTTTAATCTAAGATGTGGTGGGAAGTGCCATTATATTTGGAGCTTGTTTTATATTTGTCACGTAGACAGGGGTTTTGTTGGTTTCTCGTTTCAGACAAAGCTGGTTTTATGGAAGCAGTGGAGAAAGCGGTTCAAGCACTGGTTAGGAACGTGGGCTCTGGTCTTATGAAGGTGAAGTAGTGATTTCGGTCAAACTGACTGACTGTTTTTGTGACAGGTTACATGACGTATCCTCGACCCTTACTGATCTATCTAGTTATATGGAACTTGATCTTCTTACAGAAGGGATGTTATTTCCGTACCAGTGCACAGAGTCGTGCAACCTTTTTAGGAATGGATTCATGGTGCAATTTAGACAATACTCGATCTTATCCCATTTGCTTGGGCCTTGAAGAAACATTTGCAATACATGCTACCGCGACCCGGGTGTTTGGTATAGGCCATTGACCAACACGTTTCTCAGTAGATACGGAAACCCTTGTTATACTCTCTTCCGTTTCCGTCGAAGTGTTAAGGATACAAACACAGTTGACACGCCGTGTATGATTTCTGTTGACAGGTTCGCTGGAACGCTTGTTATGCGATCGGCAACGTGTTCCGGAATCCTTTCTTACCAACTGGTACAGCGCCTTGGACGGTTAGTA